TCTCTCTAGAAGTAACTAAGAAAGACTTGAAGAGATCTGATGGAGCTCTTCAAAGTTTTGATTCCATTTCCCACTGTATGTGAATGCTCATGTTTTTTTTAACAGGCAACTTGTTTGCAGGACACTTCAGGGGATGGTGTTTTGGGGGTGGGGGACTCTTCTTGGAGACTCCGTATTTCTATTATGGACACACAACTGACTTAGTGCTTTGTCAGTGCAAATTGTCTTTAAGAAAGATGTTGGGGGGGATTTGAAGGGTTGGAGGAGAAAAACAAAGTTTACATGTGATCCTCTTTCACTGTATACATGTATGAAAATTTTCAAGATTAAAGGAAAATAATTTTAAATAGAATGTAAAAATAGCAAAGTCATGACAATTTATATTTCACATTTTACCAAGTGCAGCTGGTAAAACTGGAGTATGACTGTTTCATCCAGTGAGAAGATACCTAATTTTACTTTTGTTATTTCTTTTTCCTCTTTCTGATATTTTTCTCTTTTTGAGACAGCATTTCTCCGTGTTGATCAAGAGGGCCTGGTATAGACTCAAGCAGTCCTCTGGTCTCAGCTTCCAGAACAGCAGCAATGACAGATGAATACCCTCACACCTAATCCTGCTTTTGAGTTATTAGGGTTGTTTGCCCTTCTAGCTTCTTATGAAAACCCAGGGTTTCTTTATTGGAGTAAAGAAATAACAATAAAAACTGGAACTACACCTGGTCTCTATCGTGCAAACTCCACTGATGTTTCCCTCCTATTCCAGAGTTTCTAGCTTGAACCTCTGATTATAGGGAACATAGAGTCCTCTAAATTATATTTTCTAGTAAAATAGATATCTGAATTGGATTACTCATGGGCCACAACTCTATTCCGGATGTCTCTGTTTTACCCTGGTCTTCTCCACACATTCTTCTATATTCTGCTTTAATTAGACTGGTAGTATCATGTCTTGATGAAAATTTTTAAAGGAATAGCAAAAGACACAAATTACAATCAGTAAAGAAGGAAGACAGTCACGCTAGCTCTTTTTTCTGAGTGATTCCACATCCATCTGTGGCTTAAATGACTCCTCATATGCTGCTTATTACTGGACCTGTGCTGGGCTTTCAGCTTTCCATACTCTTGAAAACACATTCCCTGTCTGAGGGAATTTCCCAGATCGATTGTCGATACTTTTTCCAAGGAAAGGCCACAAACACTTTTTCCTTTCTTAACAGCTGCCACACAGTCCTGTGTGGCTCAGGCCACATCCACAGACACAAAGCCTATTAGTGTGAACAAGCAGATGCCCTGGCATCAATCCCGGTTGAACTGACCCCAGAAACATTTAGCTTTCCAAGGTAGTTACACTGATATGGTAAGATTCCAGTTCCCAGTACAAGTGCTACCAGCTAGAGAAACTGTTGAAATTGTAGCTGCTGCTTCTCCACTGAGAGCATCCCTGTGATTCAGGGAAGCTCCCTAGCTATGTAGCCTCGATGCCTGATATTTTGATGTCACAGACCATTCACCTTACCTCAACTGGTGGATTCTCTCATTCCTTGGGGCTGTGTATTATATATAAGCCTATGATTAAATACCCATAGTAACTCTAAACTAACTACTGATTCCAAGACACTTAGTGGGGGTCATACCTGTTAACCTCCAGATGTTATTTATATAAGGGTCATGCTTCTGTGGGGAAAACATTTTATGAGGTTTACAAGCTACAGCTTTTGACACTCAATGAAGAACAGTAAAATATGTCCCTCATAGCTCTTAGCAATGACCTTGCAATATAGAGCATTATTAGCCTTATTATGGCTCCAAATTTAATCATTCTTTATTTACTTACATAAACCAATTTTCCTCAAAGCGGGACAACTATACTTATAGGGTAATTTCAATGTCATATCTGAAGTGGTTTTTTTTTTTTTTTCAAAAATTTAAAGCACTTCCTAAGTATACTACTAAGAACATTGCGGGTGCTATAATAAGTGAGAATAATTTCAGTGTTTCAAAAACCTGAAACATTTTTAGTAGTATTAGGGCAAACAATGCTGTCAGAGAACAGGCAGCATATACATTTGCAAAATTAAGAAGAAATGATGTCACACAGAAAATTGAGAAGTCATTCCAAGGACAGTTTATATAATTGAGCTGAACATCAGAAGAGATGTTTCTAAAACCAGGATAAGGGAACATGGTATAGGACTCTAGTTCCTTCAATAGTAAAATTTAAATGATGCATCAAAGTTTATGAATCACCCTGTCACAATGGGAGTGCCCATGAATTATCAGATTAGATATTGCTTCTGAGCAATTGTCCCTCTTCTTATTTTCAACCAAAGCTAAACTGGAAGAAAAATGGACCAACACATGTTTCCAGTCAAATACCAACTTTGGTGCAAAACATGTTACAAGAAATAAAATGTGAAACACTTGGAGTGCCCATCACAAGGCTACAGACCCAACTGACGTAATTTTCTTCTGCATTAACAAGCATGACTTGAAGGGTTGGTCATTCCATATGCTGAAACAGCTTAAACCAGTGGGTTATGAAATACCTGTGAATCCAGAACAATCTGGGACTTTTAAGATGGGAAAATGAAGCTAACACTATTTGGCAAAGATTAAAAACATACTTATGTTATGACTTGACTTGGAAATGAGATTTCTATAGATTTAAAAGTACTGTCATTTCAGCTTCAAAGGACAGAACACCTGAGTTAGAAGGAACAACAACTCTGAGTGTAATATAACTATGTGAGGCTACTGAGCACAAACAGAATGCAGATAGACACTATGTCAGACTTTGCTCTTCCAGAGGGAATCGGCATAATGAAGTCTGTGAATTCTAAATATATATATATATATATATACATATATATATATATATATATATATATATATGTATATATATATATATATATATTGTGAAATCAATCTTTGGTCTATGAACAATTAGATATTTGGGTAAATGGCAGCTTATCAGTTTTAAGTTTCAAAGAAGAGAGCTAAGGACTGGAGGAAGAGGAAGAAATGCAAAAGTCTAAATGTAACAATGGTCTACATCAAAGCAGCAGCAAGAAGCTAGAAGAAATCTCAAAGGGAAATAAGTTGCTAGCACTATATGCCAATGGAATTTGGAATTTAAGTCCATACAGGTTAATTATAGTAAAACAAAAATGATTTTTTTCTGAGACTGATGATATTCTTTGTGTTTTTTTTTCAACCAAAAGTTGTAGACATATGATCAAAGAGAAAACAGTGATCAACACCTTATAATAAAACAGTGACTATACATCAACATGGAATAGACTAAAATATTGCAGTTATTTAAGTCAACTGCAAAATGTGTTTAAGGCTTGCTAATATAGTTTAGGCAACTTCAGCAAGTTATTAAAATTATTATTATAACCCCATAGGTAATTGTGGAAATATAAGACAACAAGTACTGGACAAAAGTTCACCAATAAACTCACATGCAGATCAACTCAACAGGAGTTAGCCAAAGAAAAAGTCAGTGGATTTGGAAACTGGTCAAAAAGAAGTTATGGAGAGTGAGATGGGACATAAGAGTTAAAAAGTACAGGCACCATGAGAGAGTAACAGTAATTGAAGTGAAGTTTCAGAATTAGGCCATAGAAAGCAAGGCAATATTTGAAGAAATAAAATCATTCAGAAATTTTCTGAAATCAATCAAATTAGAGACTCAAGAAGATTAAGAAAACCTAAGTATAAAATTACACATAGGTAATAGTAAACACCAACCTAAAAAGAAAGTTTAGATCCCAAGAAAATGACGTTATTTAAAGGAGAACAAAGTTGCATATGTCCATAAATTTCTTACCAGAAAAGATCAACTTTACATGCTAAACGACCCCAGTGTCTCCTAAGTTCATATTACATTGAGCACTTATTCTGAAATAAATATAAAATATGCATAATTTCAGATAAAGATTTTCATAGAAAGAAATTATGATAAAGTTTTTAAAGCTGATGTGGACGAATTTCACATACTTACTAGAAGTCATGGGAAAAGAGTGGACTAGCGGATTTCTTTAAAAATAAGGAGAAACCTGGGTAAGATGCTCAACCCTCATTCAGAAAGGCAAATGGGATAGACAAATTGGAAGATGGAGAAAACAGGCAATAGGACAGGAGCCACCACAGAGGGCCTCTGAAAGACTGCCTAGCAGGGTATGAAAGCAGATACCTGAGACTCATAGCCAAACTTTGGGCAGAGTGCAGGGAATCTTATGAAAGAAGGGGGAGATAGAAAGACCTGGCGAGGACAGGAGCTCCACAAGGTGAGCAACAGAACCAAAAATCTGGGTCAGGCGTCTTTCCTGAGACTGCTACTCCAACCAAGGACCATGCATGGAGATAACCTAGAACCCACCCCTGTACAGACGTAGCCCATGGCAGCTCAGTGTCCAAATGGGCTCTCTAGTAAGGGGGAACAGGGGCTGTCTCTGACATGAACTCAGGTGCTAGCTCTTTGATCACCTCCCCCTGAAGGGAGCCAGCCTTACCAGGCCACAGAAGAAGCCAATGCAGGCAGTCCTGATGAGAGCTGATAGAATAGGGTCTAGGAAAGGACAGAAGGGCCTATCAGTGGACTTGGGAAGGGGCATGGAAGGAGAAGAGGGAAGGAGGGTGGAATTGGGAGGAGAAGAGAAAGAGGTCTATAGCTGGTATACAAAGTGAATAACTTGTAATAAATAAAAAATTTCAAAGCCCAGCATTAATGATTGCATGAAGGAGCCTCGTGTCATCAGAAATTCACATACAACCGTATATTCACTTGAAATCTGTCTGAATGTCAGCTATGGAGTGCTCAGGGAGAAAGGAAATTCTGGTGGGAATAAAACATTCTAGCAGAAAAATAAGTCAGAATGTGAAGAGTCTATGTGATGCAGAGAGCAGTGAGGGTTTGCAATAGCCCTCGGCCGAGAGTGAGTCAACAGGAGACAGAAAGTTAAACAAACATTTTTCATTTCCAACCGTTTATTTCATTTAGCTATAACATGTGTTCAACGAAAATCAATTCTGTAACATCAGCAGTTCCATCAATACGCAAATACAATATACTCTCAGATGTATGTTCAGCATTAGACAAGAAGCAAGAGGAAACGTGGCATTCACCCACACAGGGGCTCCAGGTTGCTGTCATCTGGATCTTCCCATGTAAGTTTGCAACAGTGAAAATAACATGCTTCTGGTTGTCATGGCTTCTGTGACCAAGTAGATAAGGTCATATGTAAGTCTCAGTGTGTCACCATGCAAACAAAAGATCCCCTCCCACCCCGGGAGTGCCTATGGTTTCTGTGTGTCAAGGAAGTTGGAATAGGTTTACCTCAGGAACAAACCTGAGAACAACTTTTATCTACCTTCTGAATAACTGGTATCAGAAGGTGCTCTGAATGTGACTATTTTGACCAGTTGCATTTTTATTCATGCAGTTATAGAAGCAGAATAAATGCTTTTGTAAATCTAATGCAAGTTAGGCTGCAGTCTTTACTTCTCAAATGTATGATTCACAAATTGTACTCCTGAGTGTATTTGACTTTCTAATTTTAAGATGTGCAATTTCATCTTCAAAACAGACTATAACTTATTATTTTAAATCATAAGAAGCACTAAAATATGTGTAAATAAAAATGTAGTATATAGTAATTCGGTGAAGTCAATACAATTGTATTCTTAGGAACCAGTTAAGCTAATGAATCCAGTATTCTTGTTGAATTAAAAATGTATAATGGGAGTTGCCTTCCTTTCAACTTTGTCTAGTAAAATTAATTTATAGTAATTGGAGTTTGAAATAGAATGTAATTTATTATTGTCCTGTAATATATCAATTACTAAATGAAGGTTGAATATGGTGCCAAACATAGTCACAGAATTTGAAAAAAAAAAAAAAGGCTTCTGTTTCCCAAGGACTTGGCTTAAGATGTGAAGCAGAGGATATATCCTATTAAATTAATCGTAGTGAAACAATCCATTAAGAGTTTACAGTATCCCCTGTTAAGTCTTTCTAATATAAAGATAGCTAGAATCAAGAAAGTTTGAAAAATACTATTCAACTGTTTTATGGACTTATAGATTAAATGAACCAACTGAAAAACAAATATCTATTTCACATCCCAACATTTTAAAATTTATTTTTAATCTATATATTTACTTTATATCTGAATCATAGCCCTCTTCTTCCTCTCCTCCTGGTCCCTGTCTCTTATCCTCTTCATCCTGTCCTCCCTCGCCTTGTCTTCAGAAAAGGGAAGTTGCCCCTTTCTGCCCATCTCAGCACATCAAGTCACATCAAGACTAAGCTCCTCCTCAGCCACTAAGGCCAGGCAAGGCAGCCTGGCTAGGACAAAGTGATTGAAAGCAGGTAAGAGAGTCCATGTCATAGACAGCACACACTCAACTTACATGAAGATCAAAATGCCCATCAGTTACATGTAGGTAGGGGATAGAGGTCAAGTCCATGCATGATCTTTGGTTGGTGTTTCCATCTGTGTAAGCTGTCTTGGGTCTAGATTATTTGACACTGTTGGTCTTCTTGTAGCATTCTTGTCCCTTCAAGGTACTTCTAACCTTCACTCACACTCTTCCTCAGGACTCCCAGTCTCTGCCTGATGCTTGGCTGTGAGTTTCAGAATTTGATTTGATCTAGGAAATCTAAACAGAGTTAAAAACCTTATATTCTAATCCTTCGACTATATGTTGAAACAGAGTTGTCTTCTTTGAAAAATTTATTCACAGTTGCAGATTCACCACACAACCAAAACACAGTACTTCTTAAAGTTATTGTTGTTTGAATATCTTTGATTATGGGTCACCCCCTAGACTGCTATCAAAGAACAAGTGGTTACACCCTTATGACCACATTTGTTTTTTCTCCAGCAGCTGCCAGTTGCCCATACATCTTCAACTCCTATTGGGATTTTGTGACCACGTCACCTCATCATGTTGGAATTTTTTTTTTTTTACACAGGGTTTCTCAGTGTAGCCTTGGTTGTCCTGGACTAACTTTGTAGACCAGCCTGTCCTTGAAGGCTCTGCTACTCTGGGTTCTGGGATTCCACACATGTGCCAGCACCATGCCTGGCTTATGCTGGGACTTATTTTTTTTTTTATATTTTTTTATATTTTATATTTTTTATATTTCTTATTTTATTGTATTGTATTTTTGCTTGAACTTGTAACGACTTGCGCACGCTCTCACACTGATAGGTTTTCAGGTGTACAAAAGCATCCTGTGTCCAGAGAATCTCTTTCCTATATATTCATCCTGAGATTCTGGCTCTTATATTATTTCTAGTCATCTTCCTTGGAAATCACAAAGCCTTAGGAGTAATGGCATATAATATATGCCACACTAACGATAAGAAAGGTTGTTGATTACTTTTTTCTCCTTTAATCTGTATGGCACCTTCCATCTCTATAAAAGATAGACAGTAGGGATAAACTCCCCTGTAATGACCGGGTTTTATTGTCAAGTTCTAGAGGTAACTAAGAAGAATTTCAATAACCTGAAATATTTGGGGGTCTATGTTACCACTCTGAACAAAGGCTGAAAAACAGTAGTCCACTTCTGGTAATGAGGTTTTTGCTTGGCAGCCTGACATGTATATTAAAGGGATTGCCTTCTTGTTATAGATTACTTTATTTGAACTATTTGATCAATTGTTTTTTATTTTATTTTATTTTATTTTATTTTATTTTATTTTTCAAGACAGGGTTTCTCTGTGTAGCCTCAGCTGGCCTGGACTCACTCTGTAGACCAGGCTAGCCTCAAAATCACAGAGACCCACCTGCCTCTGCCTCCCCAGTAGTGGGATCATAGACATGCACCACTGCACCAGCACTATTTAAACTATTTCTATATAGGTATGTACATGTATTTTAGGAAGTTTCTCTGTAGTAGGTTTGCATGCAAATTTTTGAAAAGGCCTTTTATGATGTTTGTATTTCTGACTAATCAGTCTACTATATCATCTTCACAACACCTAATATTAGAAGATCCAATATTAACGATTGCCCCTTTAATTCTATCTTCTCTCCAATGATCACCACCACACATTTACTCATTTACTTCATTCTATAGGTTATTCAAATCAAACATTCAAAACCAATGATTGAAGGTATCATTGATATATTTAAGGAAATATATGACAAGTCTCCCTTACTTCTGTTTCCTCACTTAGCATGACTGTATTGCACTTTATCCATCTATCTTTCAGTTTTATTATTCCTGTAAAGGAGATCAAGGGGATACAAATTGGAAAGGAAGAAGTCAAATTATCACTATTTGCAGATATGATAGTATATATGAATGTCCAAAAAAATTCCACCAGAGACCTCCTTCAGCTGATAAACATCTTCAGCAAAATGGCATGATAAAAAATTAACTAAAAAAAAATCCTGTTTACAAAGACAAAAGAGATGAGAAAGAAATTAGAGAAACAACATCTTTCACAATAACCACAAATAAAATAAAGAACCTTGGTGTGATTCTAACCAAGCAAGTAAAAGAGCTGTTTGAAAAAAATCTTCAAGTCTCTGAAGAAAGAATTAGAAGAAGATAACAGAAGATGGAAATATCTCCCATACTCATGGCTTGGCAGGATTAACATAGTAAAAATGGCCATCCTACCAAAAGCAATCTACAGATTTAATGGAATTCCCATCAAAATACCAACACAATTATTTACACACCTTGAAAGAAAAATTCTCAACTTCATGTAAACAAAAAAAAAACCCAAAAACAAACAAACAAAAAAAAAACAGAATTGCTAAAATAATCCTGCACAATAAAACATATTCTGGAGGTATCTCCATCTATGATCTCAAGCTGTACTACAGAGCAACAATAATTTTAAAAAAGACACGATACTGGTATAGAAACAGACTGGTGGATCAATGGAATCAAATAGAAAATCTAGAAATAAACCCACACACCTACAGATACTTGATTTTTGACAAAGAAGCCAAAACCATTCAATGGAATAAAGACACCATCTTCAACAAATGGTACTGGCCTAACTGGATGTCTACATGTAGAAAAATGCAAATAGATCCATATGTATCATGCTGCACAAAACGAAAGTCCAAGTAGATCAAAGGCCGTAACATAAAACCAGACACACTAACCTGTTAGAAGAAAAAATGGGGAAGAGCCTGGAATTCATTGGCACAAGAGACAACTTTCTGAGCAGAACACCAATATTACAGTCTCTAAGATCAACAATCAATAAAGGGGACATCATGAAACTGAAAAGCTTCTGTAAAGAAAAGGTCACTGTCCTTAGAACAAAACAACGGCCTACAGACTGGGTCTTCACCAACCCTACTTCTGACAGAGGTCTAATATCTAAAATATATAAAGAACTCAAGAAGTTAAACAGCAGGAAATCAAGTAATTCAATTAAAAAATGGAGTACAGAGCTAAACAGAGAATTCTCTGTAGAAGAATATAGAATAGCAGAGAAACACTTAAAGAAATGTTCAACGTCCTTAGTCATCAGGGAGATGCAAATCAAAATGACCCTGGGATTTTACCTTGCACCCATCAGAATGGCTAAGATCAAAAACTCAAGTGACAACACATGCCGGAGAGGATGTGGAGAAAGAGGAACCCTCCTCCATTGCTGGTGGGAATGTAAACTTATACAACCTCTTTGGAAAGTTACCTGGTGCTTTTCAAAAAATTAGAAATAGTGCTACCTCAAGATCCAGTATACCAGTCCTAGGCATATTTTCAAAATATGCTCAATTATACAAGACCTTTGCTCAACTATGTTCATAGCAGCTTTATTCTTAATAGCCAGAATCTGAAAACAGCCATGATGTCCCTCAACTGAAAAATGCATACAGAAATTGTGGTACATTTACACAATGGAATACTACTCAGCAATTAAAAATAAGAGACATGAAATTTGCAGGCAAATGGATGGAACTAGAAAGATCAACCTGAGTCAGGTAATCCAGAAGCAGAGAGACACACAAATTATACCCTCACGTATAAGTGGATATTAGACATTTAATATAGGATAAACATAATAAAATTTATAGTTCTTAAGAAGCAAAACAACAAGGAGGACCCTAGAGAAGATGCTCAATGCTCATTCAGAAAGGCAAACTGGATAGACATCAGAAGAGGGAGAAAAGAGCGAACAGGACAGAAACCTACCACAGAGGGCCTCTGAAAGGCTCTACCCAACAGGGTATCAAAGCAGATGCTGAGACTCATAGCCAAACTTTAGACAGAATGTAGAGATCTTATGGAATAATGAAGTGGGAGGGATAGAAGGACAAGGAAGGGACAGGAGCTCCACAAGGAGACCAATGGAGCCAAAAAATCTGGGCCCAGGGGGGCCTGCAGAGGTTGATACTCCAACCAAGGACCATGCATGGAAAGAACCTAGCCCACTGCTCAGAAGTACCCCATAGACTCAGTCTCCAAGTGGGTTTCTAGTAATGGGAAAAGGGTCTGTCTCTGACATGGACTCAGTGGCAGGTGAGGCTGTATCAGGACACAGAGGAAGACAATGCAGCCAGTCCTGATTAGGCTCGATAGGCTATGGTCAGATAGAACGGGAGTAGCATAACGGGAGAAGAAGCAGGGAGGGTAGGATTGGGAGGAGATGAGAGAGGGGCTACAGCTGGGATACAAAGTGAATAAATTGTAATAAATGATAAATTAATTTAAAAAAATACAAAAAAGAAGTGGATAATATTCCTTGCTGAAATGCACATTTTTGTTATCTATTCTTTTTATGATGAATATTATGTTTTATGCATTTTGAGGCAATTGTAATATGAGCATCAACTGATGAGCAAGTATCTGTATAAAAAAATATAAAGTCCATTGTGTATGTGCTCAAATGTGATATAGATGAATAATGTGGTAACTAGAACTTTTGAGTAAATATTTTCATCAGTCCATCATGTTCCATGCTTAGAACATCATGTAGTATCGAAAAACTGCTTGTGACAGAGAAAAATTAATCCAGCTTTAATGAAGTATGAGCAGTACAGCACAAAACAGAAAGGGCAATGGAAAGAGTTAGACTTGAAAAATAAAAGCAATTTCTCTTTGTTCAATGTTGTTTTTATCAAATGTTAAGTTGAGGTCTTGTGTTCTGGATTTTTTCAGAAACTAGATTTAAGAACTTTATGTGCTAACAAAATAATTCTAAATGGGAAATAATGTGACAAGGTGACATCATAGCCTTGCACTATGTACAATGTTATGTCATTTGGGTGTTATTGTATCAGTTTCTCCATGGTCAATGCAAAGAGCCAAATTAGTGTTGATTGCACAAAAATAATGTAAAACTCACGGTTGTGTTCTTCTTAAACACAAATCATAAACGTTGGTTATTTATGTGTGTTTGTGTGGATGTCTTTTAGACATCTGCAATAGTGCAATGTGTCACACAACCTGGCATAGCAATCTCAATTTATCTTTCAGTTCTTTTCTACTCTAGTTTCTTACAACTCCACACTCAATGTGGTAAAGCTAGGAGGCAGAGAATTCTAGAACACTATTAGACTGATCTTTCACCTTCTCTTAATCTACCAAATAAGTAAGGAAAACACCTATATTACTATTTTCCCATAATAGTAATAGTAATGTTTCTATATCCTTCACCTAATAGTATGCCCTTACTAGTAGATGAAGGTTGTTTTTAAACCAAAAACCACAGGTGTGGTGATCATCAAATGCTCAGCTGAAAAAACAAACAAACAAACAAACAAACAAACAAACAAACAAAAAACCCCACACCGTAACACAAGTCCTGAGGAATGGTATACTATTTTGTGTGATAAGTTGCTTAGCACTTATAAAGGTTTGACTGAGTAGCAGGATGCATGTAAGACAAAGTTGAAGAAAATTTGTTTTAGCTAGCCAGTAAGTTGCTCACTGTACTTTTTTGTCATTTTAATTTCACCAACTCTTTAGATTATTCAAGATAATATATCTAAACCAACTTTATTGTCATTGGAATTATGTTAAAAAAAACAATGGTATTAAGCAAAAGTTAATTGGATGAAATTTTTCACAGAAACAGAGAGAAGGTTTACTAAAGAAATAATGATGTGAGTACAAACAGAAAAATAGTAGTAGATGAAGTCCCAGAGAAAGATTCACAAACTGAGAAGGAATGGGAATTCTACCCTCTTTGTGTTAGTAATCTTTCTTTTTTTTTTTTCTTTAGGTTGGATTTTATTTGGATTTTTTTTTCATGTAGACTTATGAGTGACATTTACTATAGCTTTTCTTTTCTTTTTTCTTTTTTCTTTTTTCCCCTGTTCTATGAGACCTATCAGCCTTGTCCTTATCCAGAGATCACAGAAAACTGGGTGCTCTACCACTCTTTGCAGATCAGGGCTCATCTGTCTCCTCCAATGGGGTCTGGAACATCTTCCAGGCTCCGTGTGGCCCACGGTTTTCCAGTGCATCTGCTCTAACCATTCCTGAACACATAGATTACAGATTTTGCCTCGAGGCCCGAAACTGAAACTAGAGGAACAGGGAACACATGCACAGACAAACAGACACAGACAAACAGAAACAGAACCGTGTGCTCACTTACTGGCCAGTGTTCAGCTCCACATGCCGAGGGCCTTAGGGGATCTTGGGGATCTGGAATGAGTCCCCAAAATTATGTCCAGATCTTAGGGTCCCCAAAGACTGCCAGGAGCTGGACCTCGAATGCAAGAGCAAGATGCTTTATTCGGGCTTAAGCTCAATTTGGGTTAGTTTAGACAGTGCAGTTACCACAGTAAACACTAGATGTCAGATTTTAGTTTTAGATTATTTTCAACAAACGGCGTACTTGAATTATTTCTAGTAGTTTCCTTGGAATTTTGCAGCATTTTGAAGTATTTTTAGAACATTCCTAGAAGCTTGATTACCACATTGACACATACGAACATTTAAAAATCATGGTTTATAAAACAAAACTCTTCATTCAAATTACTTTGACAAATTGTTCCACTTGATTTATCTAGGAGCTGAAAAGTATTTTTTTTTAATTATAAACACCTTAAAAACTAATTTAAATGTTTTCTGACTGCTAACCTATTGAGACAATAAATCTGAGACTTTTTTTTTCAAATATTTCAAAATTTTCCAAGTAATAGAATGTCAGAATATTAGATGTTGCCTTAAGGGTTTTTTGTTGTTGTTGTCTTATTGTTTGTTTGTTTTTAAGATTTATTTATTTATTACGTATACAATGTTCTGTCTGCATGTATGCCTGCACTCCAGAAAAGGACACCAGATCTCATTTTAGGTAGTTATGAGCCACCATGTGGTTGCTGGGAATTGAATTCAGGACCTCTGGAAGAGCAGCCAGTGCTCTTAACCTCTGAGCCATCGCTGCAGTCCTACTTGTTGTTTTTGTTGTTGTTGTATGTTATCTTAAATTTCCTGTATCCTGAGAAGCCAGGCATGGTGTGGTGGCACACACGTTCTGCCCCAGCATGTGAGAGGCAGAGTCAAGAAATACCTGCGAGTTGATGCCAACTTGGTCTACATAGGATAGGAAGCTCTAGGCCAGTGAGGGCTACATAATAAAACCCTGTTTAAAAAAAAAAAAAATTAAAGAAAGAATGATCTCTGACAAAATAGCTTAAGGAAGATTTTCTTCTGACTAGTGCTTTGAAGTTCCGTCCATCATGTTGGAGAAATCAAGGCAAGAGAAGACTGAAGCAACTCATCACATTGTGTCTGTTGTCAGGAAGGAAAAAAAATGCAATGAATTTTGTGCCCAGTTTACTTTCTCCTTTCTATGTAGTCATATATAAATAATGATAGTGATCTATTTTATACATACATATACATTATTTCTTTCAATTAACTATATTTTTTGTCTTTTAACCAGAAACTTCAAAATATCTTAATAATTGCTACCTCTTCTATGGCAGGAAAGTCTCATATAATATTTCTGCAGTGAAAGCTTCGGGAACACAGAACACATGTTAGGTGAGGCTAACTTTCTATAATCTTTTCCCAGGAACATGCATAGCGGGTAACTCAAAGTGTTAAACAAAATTCGTGTTGTAAATGTTATCTCATCTGGTAAAGGCACCGGAAGTAGAAGTTTCTGGTTTCTTTGAAGACTCAGTTGTGTCATGTGATGTTTCGGTGGAAGCTGTCCTGTGAGAGGGCACTGTGATATATTGCTTCGAGCTGTCTTGGGCTAGGGTCATGACTTTGCCTGGCTGAAAACATCTCTGGCTAGACTTTGGGAAGAGATACATAGAAGCCTTACAGCCAGTGAGACAATGCTTTTTGGATATACCGACATCACTGCGCTGGTCTTCCTTCTTCAGCACTTCAAGTCGGCAGAGAGAAACGTTCCAGGGAACTTCTTTGACAATCCAACTGAATCTTGCAGCTTTCACCGACTTGTCCTGGTCTACTGAATGCTGATTCATGTTGATGTTTGGTGTTATCTGCTGGTATCCGGACAAAGAAGAATGAACTCACCCCAAGGAGGTACTTCTAAAAAGGTCTACTACCCCTTTTTCCTAAAAACCTTCTTTCTTCCCTACCTCTTAGAGGGAAGTAGAAGCATTTAATAACCCTAAATAAAGTAGGTTTGTTCAAAAATCTAAGTCTACAGTCACCTGCCACCAAGACTGTCCAAGGGGGTATAGCTCTATCCATGGGATCCATATGATGGAAGGAAAGAGGTGGCTCCACAGGTTGTCCTCTGCTTTTCACTAGTGTGCTGTGCAAAGCAAATGAAATGCACATATATGAGTACACACACAAAAATACACACACAAATACAGGCATGCACCCCTTTGACTTCCATTCTTCTGGATATAAGAAACTTATAAAAACCATTCAGGAGATTCTTAGTTTAAGATAACACCGAGGCTGTAAAACTCAAGTGTTTTTTAAAATATATTTTTTAATGTTTGATGATTTAGAAAAACTTACAAGAGTGTCATTTGAATTCTGTAACATCCCTGCAAAGCATTCAGAGAGGGTACTACTTACACTTTGCACAGGTTGAAGTCACAGGAACTTGAAGAAAGTTGTGTTTTTCTTTTCACAGTCAGGATGTATTAGTCACAAGAATGTCAGCTATAAGAAGAAATGTGATTAAGCTCTCCATTAAAATATTTTTGTTATCCAAGATTATTCATAATGAGATTAGCTTTTATTTTTATTGAGTCATTTCACACTTTCTCAAACCTACACTTTGTGCTTATTGATATCATTCATTAAGCTTCTGTTTGGGTGATTCAATCCACCATTTGTAGTAATTTGGTTGGATAAAGTTAGATTTTGTTGTTGTTGTTGTTTTGCCTCACAGTCTGTAGTTGTGAGGATTAAAGAGAAAGGGAACAGAAAAGGAAAAACAAAAACAAAAACCCAAGGAAATGAGATTTCCAGTATTTCATTAAATGGTAGGTTTGTGGGGGGGGGATAAGAGGTCATTGAGGGAGAGGAAATACAATAGAATTGCAGTTCTGCTAACCATTAAGAATCCTGTATTATATATGGGATAATCATACTAAACCAAAGGAGGAAGACCCTGGGTAAGATGATTAATCTTCATTCAGAAAGGCAAATGAGATGGACATCAGAAGAGGGAGAAAACAGGGAACAGGACAGGAGCCTATCACAGAGGGCCTCTGAAAGACCCTACTCAGCAGGGTATCAAAATGTATGCTGAGATTAATAGCCAAACTTTGGGCAGAGTCCAGGGAATCTTATGAAAGAAGGGGGAGATAGAAAGACATGGAGGGAACAAGAGCTCCACAAGGAGAGCAACAGAACCAAAAAACTGGACACAGATGTCTTTTATGAGACTGATACTCCAAACAAGCACTATGCATGGAGATAAATTAGTACCCCTGCACAGAAGTATCCATGGCAACTCAGTGCCCAAGAGGGTTCCCCAATAATAGGAACAGGGACTATCTCTGATATAAACTCATGGGCTGGCTCTTTGATCACCTCCACCTGAGGGGGAAGCAGCCTTACCAGTCCTCAGAGGAAGACAAAGAAGCCAGTCCTGATGAGACCTGATAGACTAGGGTCAGATGGAAGGGGAGGAGGAACTCTCCTATCAGTGGACTGGGGGAGGGGCATAGGAAAAGAAGAGAGTGGGAGGGTAGGGTTGGGAGGGGGTAGGAGGGGCTATAGCTGGGATACAAACTGAATAAACTATAATTTTTAAAAAAATAAAAAGAAACACAGGAACGAGAAATCAGAGTTAAGAAAATGAAGGAACTGGGTACGGTAGCACCTACTTTTAATTCTAGCAAAGGATCTCTGTAAGTTTGAGGCTAGCCTGCTCAACATAGCAAGCTTCAGGATAGTGAATACTGCATACAGAGACCCTGTGTAAAAAACAAGAGGAAGGGAGGGAAAGAGGAAGGAAGGAAGGAAGGAAGGAAGGAAGGAAGGAAGGAAGGAAGGAAGGAAGGAAGGAAGAAAAAGAGAAAGAAAGAAAGAAAGAAAGAAAGAAAGAAAGAAAGAAAGAAAGAAAGAAAGAAAGAAAGAAAGAAAGAAAGAAAAATAGAGGGAGAGAGGGAGAATGAGAGAGAGAATAATAAACAGTAGTAATCTTGGACACTTGGGTTTTGATATGATTGGGGAATATGCTGAATAGATATCCAGGAGAAAATTCATCAGGAGTTTTTTTAGGTCAAATTGTAGTAAGAAACAAACTCCAACTCTTCACTGAATTAGAAAAACAATGGTGATTTCTTTCTCTGGATATGTACCAGCTGTTCCAGCTCTGCGGGGTTCTACTCTGCTCTACTCAATATGTTATGTTCATTCTGTCAAGTCTCTTCGGGTGTCATATATTCAGAAAGCATGTGGTCAAACCCAACAACAGTGCAGTAAAGTACATCCTCATGCATAAAGCCTTGCCAGTCACATGGTAAACAAATGACAAAACAGAGGTATGATTCCATTCCGAATGAGCCAGGGAGTGGTTTGAGACAGCAGCAGTGCTGTCTGCTGTAAGAATGGAAGTGAGTGGCAGCAGTGAGAATAAATGTAATCTTGAGAAGTATCAGAACAAATGGAGGATATAGTGAAGCCATGAGTATGGACAACATCATGGACATTATTTTTAACTTGTGAGAAATGTAAAAATAACCAGGTGGGTATGGTAGTATGTGAGTTTAATCTTAACACTCTGGAGGTGGAGGCAGGTAGATCTCTGTGAATTCAAGGCCCTGATATACGCAGTGAGTTTCCAGTCAGCAATGGCTGCAGAATAAGACCCTGTCTAGACAAATATACAGAAAAAAATTGATCTCCTCCAATGTGTCTGTTTATCATCTTATTTTGGCTAATAATGCTGTCTTATGTAAAATACTCTGCCATCCCCATATCTCTGTTGTGTGTTGGTTCAATTTTCTTCACTGTTACAGAACACTTGATGTAATTTAAAAGTAGGAAAATTTCATGTTGGTTCATAGTTTCCAAGGTTGGAGATAAGATTTTCTTGGCTTTGTTACTGTGGGCCTGTGATGAGGACAAGTGAGCATGGCAGAAGGGCCTGGAAAATGAGAACCCTTATCTCATAGCAGTTAGGAAGCAGAAAGAATAGGACGTGACTGCAATGATGTGACCTCAGTGACATGCTTTGTCTATTTAGACTCTTCTCCAAAAGTTTCCTGGTCCTTCCCAAATATACCCATCAGCTGGTGACATGCCTTCAACCTTTGCGGCTTTGGGAGACATTTGATTTTAATACAGATTTTGCAACTTTATTACTCAGTTAACGTTTTTTTGCGTTTATAAAAGTTAGTGCATGGGTGAGAGGCTCAGTGGTTAAGAGCATTTACCACTCTAGCAGAGGAACAAGTTTGATTCCCAGCATTCCCTTAGGAGGGTGCAGCTCACACCACTTGTCAGTCTATCTACAGGGCATCCAATGACCTATTCTGGTTTCTACAGGCATTTTTATTCATGTGGATATATCCACACACAGACATGCACATACACATAATTGTAAAAATTATATTTAAAAATATCATAAGGACCAATACTAGTCCTCAGAAGATTTTTCAAGAGTATCTTTTGTTTCACTATTAATAATAATAATAATAATAAATATAATAAATAGATAATATTAGATAATAAGAATAAGGTTGTGTACACTGTTCCAGTTTGGTTCTGAGTAGAGATCTGATTACTGAATAAATGCATCAAGAATAAGTGACAAGAGTTCTTCATTCACCTGAGACATGTAGCTTGCTAAGACTGCAGAACCAGCTGGCTATTCCTTTCTAACATTTTTCTCCTATTTATTTTAAGGTCTGGTGTCCTTAAAATTCTTTTTTTTTATTCTTTTTTTAAAATTTTTTATTTAACTTTTATTAATTACATTTTATTCATTTTGTATCCCCCCATAAGCCCCTCCCTCCTCCCCTCCCGGTCCCACCCTCCCCCCCTTTCTGCATGCATGCCCCTCCCCAAGTCCACTGATAGGGGAGGTCCTCCTCTGCTTCTTTCTGATCTTAGTCTATCAGTTCTCATCAGAAGTGGCTGCATTGTCAGGGTTCTAGGTTATCTCCATGGATAGTCCTTGGTTGGAGTATGAATCT